ACCTACAGCTCTCTAAGTGCAAATTCTATGTTGCTAAAACAGAATATTTAGAATTTATAATTAATAGTAAAGAAATAAAAATTAACCTAGCTAAAGTATAAAAGGTACTTAAATAGCTAGAACCTACTACAACTAAGAAGGTTAAAGGATTCCTTAGTCTAATAGGGTACGTTAGATAAATAATTAAAGACTACTTAAAAATTACAATCCCTCTAACTAACGCTACTATAAAAGAACAAGCTATAGCAAAGTTTATCTAAACCCTATAAATAAATAAGGCGTTTATAGCATTAAAGCAGGCTATAACAGCAAAACTAGTGCTAAGAATGTACAACCTGCAGTTAGATACTAAGATCCACACTAATGCATCCTTAGAAGCCAGCAGAGCCACCTTCTACTAGAAACAGGAGGACAGCAAATAGCACCCTGTAGCTTATTATTCTGCTAAGTTTGCTAGGCCTAAAGCTAGTTATAGCATACCTAACAAAGAACTTAAAGCAATATTAAACGCAGTTAGGGTCTAGGCTACAGAGCTACACAGGATAGCAAAACTATTCTAGATTATAACTAACTACGCAAACTTAGTTATATTTCTAACAGTAAAGAAACTCTTGCTAATGCACATAAGATAGGCTATAAAACTAGCATAGTTTAACTGTACTATTAAGCATGTTTTAGGAACGCAAAACTAGTAGGCTAATGCCCTTAGCCGCAGACCTAATTACTTTAATAAGAAAAAAAAAGAAACTAAGGAATTTACTCTCTTTAAAGAAACTAACAAAGAATAAGTCTATAATAGACCCTAACCTATAGAAGAATCCTGCATGCTTACAGCTAGTAAGCAGGGATAGAAGAACCTAATTTAGGAATACTATAAATTACTAATGTTTAGACATCTAGGGATAGGCACCCTTTAGAAGAAGCTAAGGGCTGCTATACTACAACAAATACTAAAGATAAAGCAACTGTGCACTCAAGTGCTTAGAGAATGTAATATCTGTAATAAGAATAACCTATAAAGACATAAAACCTACAGATACCTGCAACTAATTAAAGCCCTAAAGTTGCTATAGATAATAATTACTATAGACTTTATTACAGGCTTACCCCTGTTAAAAGAACTAGGTACAGACAGAATGTGCAATATAATTACAGTAGCACTTAATAAAACTACTAAATACCTATATACCTAGCCCTTAGAAAAAATAATAACAGCTAAGAAATTTATTTATAAATTAAAACAAAACATTATATTAGTACATAGATGCCCTTAGACTATTATCTTTAACTAAGACAAATTGTTTACTAGCAAATTCTAGAAGGCAGCTATGCAACACCTAGAAATAACACACAAGCTATCTACAGCCTATTATCTACAGATAGACAGCTAAACAGAAAGGGCAAATGCTAAAGTAGAAAAATACCTAAGGAAGTATGTTTTACACACTTAGCATAATTAGGCAGAGTGGCTCCTAATAGCGCAGCTAGCTATTAATAATGTAGAGTTAGCTACAACTAAAGAAACTCTATACAAAGCTAACTTTAGATATAACCCCTACTATAAGCTATAAGAAAATTAACCTACAGACCTACAAAAGTCTATAGACTAGTTATTAAGCTTATAAAACATACATAAAAAGTTAGTAATAGAAGCTAAGATTAGCAGAGAAGCAATAGAGAAGTACGCAAACTAGTTATAACAGCTTAGACTAGAAATCTACCTAGAGGACTATGTGTATCTTAATACTAAGAACTTTAAAATACCCTAACCCTTAAGAAAGCTAGCAGAGAAAAAGATAAGACTATATAAAGTCTTATAAACTTAATAAAATAATTACAAACTTAAGCTTCCTTTACATATAAAGATACACCTATAGTTTTACGTCTCTAAACTAAAAAAAGCACCTAAGAAGATTCTCTTATCTGCATAAAAATAGAAAGACAAGGAAACTAAGTATAAAGTAAAATAAATTATTAAAGACTAAAAGAATAAGAAGGAATTCCTAGTAAAATAAAAAGAATAGCTTACTAGTAAGAACACATAGAAACTAGTTAAGAACTTGCAGAACGCGCAGTAGTTAGTACAAGCGTACCTTTAGGCTTGTCTAACAGAAACTAGCTGGGCGATAAGGCACCTATATTAAAAGGAACAGTTAACGCGTTATTACTAGATAGCAGCAGCCTTTAGAGACAAGTTCTAGCTAATAAAGGTTGTAGAGGAGAATAACCCTCTACCTCTGCCTCTAGAGCTTCTATCTTGTCTAAGGAAGAGAAGTCCTTCTTTAAGTACTTTGCACAACAAGCCTCTAACAGGTCTAGTAACTTTTAAATATAATTCTGTTTAGAACACTTCTTATCTCTTGCCTTTAGTGTCTCCTAGCTTTAATGTAGCATTTCCCCTTATAGACAAAGCTGCTCTTAATCCTAAGCTAGCTGCTTATTTAGCAGGACACAGTTCTTAGCCTGTAAGGCCTCTGTAGACTAAAGGAGTTTCTCCCTCTCCCTCTCTAAACACTCCTACGCAGTATTAGATATAAAGGCGTTGCACCTGTTATTCTTTTTTACGCATTTAACGCACCTGTCTAATAATAGAGTTAACACGCAAGACAACCCTAAAGATTAGCAAGCACTATAAGGCCTTATCTTTGTCTAGTAAAAAGGATTAAAACAAAGGGCAACATAAGAATAATAGAACAAGCAAGACTAATAAGCTATTTAGTCTAAAAAAGATAAATGTTAAAGATGCTTTCTAGTAAGTAGCTGCCTACCTTATAAATAAACCTATGCTAACACAGTTGTGTGAGCAGAGCGGCAAGGACGCCGCTAGGGAGAAGGGGCAGCGTGTTACAGTCTACAGTTAGACTAGCGTAACTCCACCAGCAGTGCTCTACAATCTAGCTGGATTAGAACAGGGCTTGCTTATAGCCTAATTAGAGGACACAGAGGCAGCACAGCTGCCTGCAATAATAGAAGAATGCACTATCTAATAAGACAAGGATGGATACGCGTCTAGCAAGTTAGGCAAGTTAGGACAAGCTAAGCAGAAAGGGTTTACTATTAGACTTATAGAACTCACGCAAGCTTGTCTTAGCACCTTTTAAACATGTATATAGTTTTTGTTTTAAACACCTTATAGAAGGTGTGTTTAATATTTAGTTTATTCTTTATATAGACTAAGTAGCATTTAGCTTTTTAAAAAGCTGTAATACTATTTGTATATCTTGCACTATATATACCTCTAATCCTGTCTAACAGGACTGTTTGACCCGGCCACCATACTGCTGCACACAGGGCAAACCACGATCTGGTCACTCTATTACCCCTCCATAGCCCATTAGCCTGTACGTAGGACTGTACACCCTACCGGATTGGCCCCTCTTCCCCGTCCTACCCACCCCCTAGGAATACCACCAGACCCGAGTGCTTCCCGAAGCAAGGATTGTAACACTCGCCTGTGAAGTACGTTATGCATAAGAATTTTTCTCTTAGCTAGCAGCTATAGCTAATATAGCTAATTCTTTACATGCTAAGCATAATCTAGGCTATATTAGCATAAACTAGCCTAGTATATTTATAAAGTGTTATCTAAAGCTTTAAGTAAAGTTTTAAGTATAAGTATAGTTAGTAAATATCTAGCTTAGTATAAAGCCTATTTTATTAAAGTTATACATGTTATTATTCTAAATGCTATACTTAGCTTTAATATTCTTTATAAGGCTAAACTAGCTATAAATTACTTTAGAATTTTATAAAAAGCTTTTTTATAGTTATTCTTATACTTAAACTTTACTTTAAGCTTTAGATAACACTTTATAGATATACTAGACTAGTTTATGCTAATATAGCCTAAATTATGCTTAGCGTGGAAAGAATTAGCTATATTAGCTACAGCTACTAGCTAAGAGAAAAATTCTTACACATATAGCTTAAGTATATGCTTAATAATTACCTACTTTTATTATTACCTAGCTTTTATAAGTTAGCTATAAAATTAGCTTATAAAAGCTATCTAGTGTGTTAGTTATTTATTATTTTTTTTAAAAGACTGTATATATAGCTGTAGCATGTTACTTTAAGTGTGTTACATTTTATTTAAAAGCCTAAAGTATAAGCTATATCTAATGTTCTTTTAGCATGTCTAAGTAGTGTTATTAGGAATGCATTAGTGTAAGAAGAGTAGTTTAGTAGGGTCTTAGCAAAAGTAAGCAACTTAGGTGTGTAAACAACTTGCCTGTAGAGTACGTTATATGTTTGCAATAGTCACACAATAGTCAGATGGGTCGTCATCATGGTCGGATGGGTCGTCACCATAGTCGTATGCATCTCACCATGGTCTGTTGCCAAGACTCACCCACTTATTTCGCATATATATAGACTCCTACAAAGGACTCCTCTAGCAATGAATTCAATCCAGTTCCTCATGCCTCTGGTGCTTCACATAGCTTCACAGTTATGAGCCCGGCAATCGCTTGCTCGTCAATCGAGCTGTTTTCAAACCTATACTAAACAGAGCTCCTTTGACACCCTGCGTACAATTGTGACCTCTTTGTCACGCCCTACCACCTCAAAGTCGCTCTTTTGCAGCACTTTAGGTATCTTTTAAGACCAATCTTGACCTTTTGGTCTAAAGAGGCGACTCAAAGTCTCTACTTCACCAGTCGCATCAATCGCGACCTCTACAATCTCCTGAGCACGCTACCAAAGCTCTCGAGCACCTCAAGGACAAGCTCGTCCACCGCAAGGACAAGCTCATCCACCGCAAGGACATACTCGTCCACCTCAAGGACATATTCGTCCACCGCAAGGACAAGCTCGTCCACCGCAACGACATACTCGTCCACATCAAGGACAACCTCGTCCACATCAAGAACAACCTCGTCCACATCAAGAACAACCTCGTCCACATCAAGAACAACCTCGTCCACCTCAAGGACAACCTCTAACCAACTACGTCATAAATATGACAGACTCTGCTGATATGCTAGTCTCAAAGACTACAATTACTCAACACAACCAATGACTGGGACCGATGGATCTACCTCCAAAAGTCAGTCGCGCAACAGCTGTTTGTATGGGAATACTGCAACCCAGAGCTCTCAGCAGCCGAGGTGAGGATACTAGGAGACGAACCAGTCGAACCAACATACGACGATCATCAATCCGGCGCTACTAAACCATCTGAAATGGATGCGAAAAACCTATCCGGCTATACCGCCGACCACAATCAATGGGAGCGCAAAATTACAGAATACAAGACCCTGCGCAAATCTCTAGCTAGGATGGGCGCAGAGATCTCTCGTACAATCGCACTCCAGCACTACTTCTTGATTAAGGATCACAATGATGCCTACAACAAACTCGTAGCGCTCAAACGTCAACTAGCACCAACCAGCTCCAATCGCCAAAGGATACTTATAGAGCAATACCGAGCTCTTCAAAAGAAACCACGCAAGGATTTTGACGCATGGCTAAGCGAATGGCTACAAACTGTCGGGCAGTACAGAAGAGCGAATCTTCCAGATGTCCAGGGTACCCGCGCGCAAACTGACTTGCTTCGTACTATTAAGCCTTAAGCACTAGAGGCATGAGGAACTGGATTGAATTCATTGCTAGAGGAGTCCTTTGTAGGAGTCTATATATATGCGAAATAAGTGGGTGAGTCTTGGCAATAGACCATGGTGAGATAGATGCATATGACTATGGTGACGACGCATCCGGTCATGGTGACGACGCATCCGACCATGATGACGACGCATCCGACTATTGTGTGACTACTGCAAACATTATATATTATTTAAAGGCCTAAAGTATAAGCTGTATCTAACATTCTTTTAACATGTCTAAGTAGCGTTAATAGAAATGCATTTGTGTAGAAAGAGTAGTTTAGTATAGTTTTAGTAAAAGTAAACAACTTAGGTGTGTAAGCAACTTGCTAGTAGAGTACGTTAGTAGTTATTAAAGCTATAGTGCGCTGCTTATTCTATGTAGTTAAAAATCTTTATATTTTTATCTAACTTTAACTAAGTATTTAGAGAGATTTAGTAGCTGCACATCGCGATTTGCAGTTTACTAGCAAAGTGCGCGTGCTAAAAAGGCGAGGGTGACGCTAAGCATTACGCTGATTTTTAATAATGATGATGATGTCTTTATTACGCCCGGCTCTAGCCTAGAGGGCACTAGTGTGTTATTACCTAAGCGCTTCCTTGGTGATGGCTTAACTCCTTGTAGCCCTTACATGCCTCCTGCTCCGCTATCTAGCGTAGTTGTTACATATCCCTCTAATTATAATTTGTAGCAAGTGTTCTTAAAGTCTCTTTTTTAAGTGTTTAAAGTCCTTTTCTTAGCAAGTAAAGCAGAGCCTGCTGTTATATAGAGTTAGTATTAAGCGTCTCTTTCCTACTATTGTCTCTATAGTTCTAGGTTCCTATCTTCTTTTTTGCTCTAGGCAGCCTATTGCTATTGCGTACTTAACTGTTATCTTTACTGTGTTAATGTCTAGCAACTATTCTGCTAGGTCTGCTAGTGCCTTTTTTTTAAAAAGAAGGGGAGGTTTTCTTTTCTAGTCTTTATTTACTAAAGCATTTATATTTAAAGTGTGTCCTATCTTTAGCATTAAAAAAGGAAGTGCTAAATAGTTTCTTCTGCCTAACTATATATGCACATGTTTAAGTCTACAGCTTTTATTTAGTTTAGGTATATATTTAGCTATATTATTTTAGTTTATAATTATGCTAGTATGTTTACTTCTTGCTAGGTTAAGGTGTTATAGAGCTTTTTAGTGTGTTTCTTTAGTAAAGCTATGTTTATCTTACGCAAGTATTTCTTTACTTTTATTAGTAAGTCTTTTCTTTGTTTTTAGTTTTTTACTATAGTCCTAGTTACTATTAACTTTACTTAGTAAAAAAGTTTAGTTAGCATACTACTATTTACTATAGCTTTTCTTACTACTTTTTTAGCCTTTTTTACTAAATTATTGCTTCCTGCTAGGCACTATACTATATATACAGAGCACTGCCTTTTCTTTAGTGCTTAAGTTGTGTTATAGATCTATTTAATGCTAGCTTAGCTAGACTAATCCTGCAGTTAGTGTATTACTGTCAGATTGAAGCACTGTTTCTAGGCTTCCTAAGATGAATGATGGGTTTGGATATGATGTATGGGTTGATGATTGATTGTGTTGATTTATCGATCCTTTTTCTGCTCTACTCGTGTTGCTCGGCTTTTTGTTTTGCCGCTCCGAGTCCCTCGCGCACTTGCCCTATGCGCGACCAGCTTGCAAAATGCTGCAATTTGCTGCAAACTGCTGCAACATGCTGCAAAATGCTGCAACATGCTGCAAAATGCTGTAATTTGCTACAAAATGCTGCAATTTGCTGCAACATACTGTTCGAGCTTATTGCTCGTACTATGTAGCAGCTTTCGTCAAGCGTTCCTCCTGTCTTGACAGTAGGTGCGCATATCTGACACACCCCCTTAGCTTGGACATGCTTTAAGCTGGTTCCCGATTGCGCAAC